TTTATAATTTATTCATCTTGTTCTTGCCTGCATCCTTTCTACTTATCATTCATCTTTACAAGTTGTACATAAAATTAGATGGATCCTTCCATGGCAGGGCTGTCAGGAAGGAGATGGGCTTCATCAGGGAAGCCCCGGGATAGCTGCTGGAGGTCGCCCTCGAGTCCCTGTGGGTGCCAAATTAGAGGTGGTGTGGACAGGAGAGAGGGAGAGTGGAGGGAAGGAGGAGGAGAGGAGACAGAAAAAGCAGGTGAAAAGGATAAAAGAAGAAAGGGTAGAACATGAGAAAGGAAAAGCAGAAGCAGAAAATGACCAGAAGGGAGAGAAAAGCAGCATAAAGAGAAAAGGGAGACAAGGAGAAAGAAAGGAAGACAAAATAGGATGCAAGAATACGGAAGTGAGAGGAAGGGGGACAAAGACAGACAGCCAGACATCCTCAGACAGCCAGAAATTCAATTGAGTTTTTTTTTTTTTAATGTTCCAGTTTAACATCTTTCCTGGTAAACTCAAAGAAGGTCACATTGAATTTCCATGGAAATGACCCGTCCTGAGTTGCAGCGACCTGAGTCAGGAGGTGTGATGGCAGCGATGTTGCCTGCGTACTGGGCTGCACAGAGGGGGTGGGGCAGGAGATGGCCCAGAGGAGTGTGTAGGTTTGTTTTGTATTCTCAGGTTGCCAGAGTGAGGGCACAAAAGCCAATCTTTAACTACTGAATTGGAACTTTAATGTTTACCAAGCAGATACATCTCCCACTTCCCCCCTCTCCCCCGCTTCTCCCCTCTCCTCTGCCAGCTCCCTCTTCTGCTTCCAGGCCGCCTGCTAACGGGGCCCAGACCTTTCTCTCAGCAGCCCTGGTGAGGAGCCCTTCCTGCTGCCAGGGGCACAGAATGCTGGTCACTGCTGGCCATGTCTCCCAGTTTTCTCTAATCAGAGTCTTTCCCATGAGACCCTACTTTCCTAACTTCGGAAGCAGATGGGTTCTTCCTGGAAGACAATTCCCTGCAAAGCCCCAGAGGTAGGGAGAGCTGAGACTAAGCAGCAGGGACCTATTTTAAGGAACAGAATTTTTCCAAGAGTCTTCCTGTGTACAGCCAGCCCCAGGGAGTTCTCAGTGGATATCTGCTGCCCGGCTCACAGCTCCTGCCCTGCCATGTGTGACTTGTCTCTAGGCTGGTTCTCAGGCCAGCACTCCTATCTGATAGACCCATCTTCCTCCCAACTTCCTATTTCTACCTTGCCAATGTCCTGAACAAAACCTTTGAAAAACGCCTGCACCCTACAGTTATCCGTGTCCTCTCTAAAGCAACTGGTGGCACTAGAAAAGAGAAATGGGCATCCTGGGTTTTCATAGTAGACCTGATGTTGGTCCTAGCTTGGCAATTTATTAATTGCATGACCTTGGGCACATTGTTTAATCTCGCCTAACCTGGGTCTCCTTGTGTATGAGAGATAATCATGATATCTCCCTCATAGGGTGGTTGTGAGGATAAAATGAGACAATGGAAGTAGTATGTTTGTATCATGCCTGCCAAGTAGGAAATGCTTAATAAATATTATTAAGAGGGGTGGAGGATGCGTTTTTTTAAAAAAAACCTCTGTGTCTGCCAGGTCTCTGTGCAGAGTGCCCAGTACACACTAAGAAATTACTTGTTGATGGATTGAGAACTGCCCCATGTTGGCTGTACCGTATAAATAGTGGAACAAACATTAGGAATGAAAGAGAGTAGGCTGGAAAGGGGCAGGGGCAGGAGAGAGTGAGAGACTGAGAGTGTGAGAAAGAGATAAAGACAGAGAGTAGAGAGAAATGTGCAGTCACTCTGCCTAGATGCTGGTGGAAAACACTGGTCAAAAGGACCCGGGTGGCGGTTTGTGGTTTACTAATTTCATTCCACTGAAGTCATGCTAAACTCAAAAACAAGAATCCATTTGTGACACTGGTCCAGGGATGACTCTACCAGCCATCCAAGGGACGTGGGCTAGGCTGGTTCCCAGGCACACTGCCCTCTGAATTGTAACAACAGCCACTGTGGTCTGGTTGCTGAGCTTCCACTTATCCCAAGAGAAATGTCAGCTGCCTCTCATCCCCCAAATGAGAACACATGTGAGAGGTGCCTCTAGTTCTTTGTTGATGTTTGGGTTGTGGTAGTGTGTCCATGCATAACAACAACAGCATTGTTTTCCTTGCTGCCAACAGGATGCTGGCTCTGTAACTTGCTGGGAAAGAAGCAGAGTGGGCTGCCTGCACTATCTTCTCTCCTCAATGAGAAAGTAGAGAGCTGATTTTTAATGGATAGACTTTAATGGATTTTGAAGCCTGGAAAAGTGCCTAAATTGCTGAGGTTACCAGTTTTCCAGTTCTTTTTTCATTTCTTTCTCCTTACTCAGACATAGGGTGAGCTCACTGGGGCACCTACTGGGGTCTGCCCCTGCCTCAGCTAGCAGGAACACCTATTACTTGGTTGGTTTGGAGCGTTTTGCTTGGCCCTGTCCTTGCATTTGCTAGTGGCACACATTCTCTGATCTCAAAGGAGAGAACCAACCAACAATAACTACACCAGTTCTGCTTTCTGGAATCCAAAATGGCTCCATCTTAAAGCATTTTTTTTTCATCTTATTTTTCATTTGTCTCCGTGTGAGTTTGTGCAGGGACAGTATGCCCTGGGAAGTTTGAGCTGCAATGCTGTCTCTTCTCCTTGTCCCTCCCGCTGTGGGCTGTGCCGGCCCTGAGAATTGTGAGGAGGTCTTTGAGGCCATGAGTCTCCCCGTGAGGCCTTTGAAGGAAGGACGGCATTTCAGGCACCTCAAGGGAACTCTAGGCTATGTTTTAGCTCTGCTGTTGAACTCTCTCCTCGCCCCTCCCATCTCCCAACATACATTCGCATTTCTTTCTGCTCTTTCTTCCAAACTTGCCCAACTCATCTTTGCGATTTCAGAAAAATGCCACTGGATCTCCCAGTATGAAGGATTAGTACAGATTATGGGGAACAGTGTTAATTATTGGTGGAAGGGGGGCTGGCGCGTCGCTCCAATGTGCTCCTGATTTCCCCTGGGCCTTTCTGCCTGGTAATAAGCCTTCTTTAATCTGGCAGGCCCCTTAGTGAAATCAGCACCATGGACAGTGGTATTGATTGCTTCTGAGAAACCATCACAGCTGCTCAACCAAATTACCTTTGATATGTGACCTTTAATGTAATTACTGCAACATCAAAGTATTTCTATAAATTATTAAAGAACTAATACACTCCATCATTTAGCTATTCTGTTGTATGTAAAATAAACAACCACAAGTTAATGTTAGATCCCGAACAATCCACACTTGCTACTGAAATTCCCCCAGTCCTGGGCCTCTCCCCCTTCAAAACCCTAAGCCTCCCCCTCCCACTTTCTCTTTCTGTTTCCCCATCTAATTCCAGGCTTTTAGCCATCATGAAACTCCCCAGCAATCTCTCTCAAGCTGATGAAGGGCCTCCCATAACAATGTGGTATTTTCTATTCCATTCGGGTGGCTCTAAAATATCTATCACAATCTCCCCCAAAACAAAGTACCATAAACAGTTTATTAATCAGCACAAACCTTTCTCAGAAGCTTTGATTATCTTACAATATGGCTTTATGCTTCACATATAACATGGGGCGATGTGGAGCATATTTCTGCCATCTTACAGAGGGCACCCAGAAAGTAATTACTATAATATATGTGCATGTAGCTGTGCCACTAAAAACCAACTGGGGAATGGCCACCGTGCCAGAGCTGGGCTCCACATAAAAAAAACCCTGTGTGTTGTACCATTTCCATACATTTGCATGCGTGGGTATATTAGTAAGATGATTCAGGCCCGTGCTTTGCAATCACAAATAGCAAAATACAATACAAAGGCTGTCTTAATAGAAGGCCCTCCCCACCCCGAAACAGGAAAGGAAGGATCTTTGATACAAAGAAAAGGCTGCCCCTGCTGGAGTTGCTTTTCTCTCTGTCTACCTGGTTAACCTTTCCCGCTGTGGGGCAGAAACGGATACGTGTGTTTACATACTATTGGCTTGGTAAGAATGTAAACATGCATGTGTAAACATTGCCGAGCATACATACAGAACACACGAACTTCCCTGCAGTGTCCATTGTATAATACAGCTTAAACATGGTATATTTATAAATTCTTTAAATTATGCCCACAAACACGCACATATTTCCATTTATCTTTTAGATACTCAGTGAGCTGTATATCTTAGCTCCCATTCCACGCCCCACCCCCCATTTCTCTGAACCCACAGGAGACGCGGCACAGACCCTTGACCTGAGGAACACTTCTTATTTTATGGTGATGAACTAGCCTCGATAATAGCCATGGCTGATATCACACCCAGTTAGGGGGGACATAAATAATTCTCTTCTCCCCAGCACAGAAGCAATAAACCAGGGCTGAGGCGCGATAGTTTATCAAAGACGAGGGCTGGCTCCTTAAATAAACGCGGTGATCTCACTCGGGCGCGGAGCCTGGATGGTGAGGCGCCCCTCCTGCCCCGGACCCCTCCCCTGGAACAGCCAGTGTCAGACGCTGATCCACTGGTGTTCTGGCAGCCCCGCCAAGGAGAGCCCCGCGGGGCAGGCAACTCCCGGCTCGGGGGCCCTGGACACCCGGCGTGCCTGCCTCGGGCAGCCTGTACAGGCAGTGCACGGTGGAGACACCCGATCAGCAGGGAAGGAGCCCCGCCCAAGATTGTGGCCGCGGCCAAGTTCGCCCCTCTCCGGAATTCCACTGGGCCTGGACGGCGGAATGTGGGGCCGTTTTGCGAGGTCTGAGCTCGGCGCCCACGAGTCTCAGCCGCCGCTCAGCGCCTAGCATCTTCCAGGAGCGCTAGGGCAGGCGCGAGCTCCCGAGCCGAGGCAAGCGGCACGCCCGGCCCGGTATCCGCCCCCACGCCCGCCGCCTCGCAGTCGGGTCTCCCGAAGTCGCCCCCTGTCGGCGCGTCCGTCGCTCGCGCCTCGGCGGGCGCCACTTACCCCGGGCAGGGTCTTCTGCTCGTGCAGCGCGCTCTGGGCCTTCAGCGCTGACTCACGCTCGCAGTAGGTGAGGAAAGCGCAGCCTGGGGAGGGAAGCAAGCGGCGAGAGGGTCAGTGGGGCGCCCCCGGGCCGCCGACGCGCCTTCCCGCCGCCCTCCAGTCTCCAGCCCCTCCCTGCTCTTGGTCCCTCTCCCCACCTCTCTTTCACTCCTGTGCTCTCTATACTCCAGCCTTCCTGCCTCTGCGTTTTCCTGTCTGTCTGCTTCTCGTCCCTCGCGTTGCTGTTCGGTTTTGCTCCTTCGGCAAAATCTCCCCACCCTGCACCGCCCCTCTCTGGATGCCCCCTCTCCCCAAGGGTCTCTTCCTGTCCCCATCCCCTGGGGCCTCATGTGCCTCTGCCCTTTCCCTTCCAACATCTCTTTCACCCTCCCTTCATCCCTCCCTCTGGGCGCTGTTCTGTTTCAGCTCCAGCCCCAGTACCTCCCAAGGGCAGCTTTCACCCATCACTCCCAGCACCTCTAGTCACACTTGACCATGAATTTTTGTTCTGGCCTCCCTTAGGAATGCTGCGGGCTGCTTAATCAAGGATGATGGAAGGACCCTCCTGGCCTTCCAAATAAAGGCTCCATCTGTAAGGAGGACCCCAGGCCAGGTTGGCCTAATAAAATAAATGGGGCTCCATGCATCCCTGCCCTAGCCCATTGCCACATTTGCAGTGAGATCTTCACACCCCTCCCAGTCAGAGGGCTTCCTGGCTCACCCAGCCCATCAGTGAGCAAACTTAGGCCTGAGGCTGACCCTTGCTCTGCCTCTAATTCCTGGGTGACCCCTGCAAATCACATCTCCTATCCTGCCTCAGTCTCCGTGTGTATCAACTGAGAGTTTTGACCCATTGGTCTCTAAGGCTCAGTCTAGTTTTCCCCTTGAGTGATTCTGACAGTGCTTCACCAGGAAATTTGGGTTTTAAGAGCACTGTGTCTAACTCAAGGGGTGACTTTTTAATGCTGGCTTTTCAGGCACAATGACAAGGTAAAGAGAATGCTTGCTGGCGGGGGAGTCTTTCTGAAAGGCCCTTCACACTGCCCAGTGTCAGGGGCCTCTTCCTCTGCCCACAGACATGGCTGATTGTGACTTGAGAAGCCTGTAAAACTTGGGACCACAGGGAAAGTAAAAAAGCGAACTCTGGCCAGCAGTAGGTTTGACTCCTAGGGGAAGTGGCCTCAGACTTTCCAGTACCACCCATGACCCCAGGGAAGGCATCCTGCAGGCTGGCTACTTCCCTAGTTTCACTGTTTTTTTCCCCTCCCTTGTTTCACTTTCTTTCTTATTATCTTATCTGACCTCCCAACCACCTGTATTCACTGCCTCCCCCACTTTCCTTTGTTCTCACAGTCTCCTCACTTGGGATGCCTCTCTGCCCATTTTCACCTTCCCCCATCTCATCCATCTTTCAAGAATTGGACCAAGGTCCACCTTCTCCAGGCAGCCCTCCTTGACTGGTTTAGTCCATTTCAAGCCAACCTCCTTCCTTAACTGTCCAGAGCTGACCATTTAGTAATTCTTATGGCCATTTATCAACTGTTTCCTGAGTGCCCATTGCAGTCATATTCTGTGCCAGGCCCGGTGGCCCAGGCCCTCTTTTCATGAGGTCTGTAGGCTGGTGGTGCCAGTCTGGTGCCAATACCAGCACTTGTCATCAGGCTTGCTCCGGTCTCTTATTTCCCCAGACGGAGAGCTCCCAATGTCCTCTCCACTTTTGGACCCCACCACCACGCAGTGAAACCCCTTTCCTGCTCTTCCAATATAGAAATTGGTCCTGCCTCCCTTCCTAGCTTCAGAGAGGATTTTGGAAGGGAATATATGTGTGATGGAGACATAGAAATGGGAGGACAGAGCAGGGAGACAGAAACCCTCAGCTCCCTGTGGGCTCTCTGCCCTTCCTACCTCCAACTCCTGCCCACGGCCGGGAGGGGCTGTGAGTGCCAAGGAGTGTGGAGCCTCGCTCTGCTCCGTCTCATCCCTCCCCATCCAGACCCCACATCACCCCTCCTCCTTCTCCTCCCTGTTTCTCCCTCCTGGTCATGGCAGACGGTTATTGATGGAGACACATGGGGGACTGAAATGAATAGCGGTCAGAGGCCCCCGTGACGTCTTCCCTCGTGCTGCTCCCTGCCTCTCTGGGGGCCTTTTTCCTCCCGTCCCCTCGCTGGCCTCATCCTCTGCCTGCGCCTGCCTGCAACCGGGAGGCGGCCACTGTCTAGCTGCATACAGGCAAGCCAGCTCGGGACAAGGTCAGGGGCAGGTTTGGAGAGGGAGGAGGAGGGAGGAAGAGGCTGAGAGAATGACCACATTGTTTCCATGGCCCAGGATAACAAGAAAAGGACTCCAGAAAAAAGATAAATAGAATCTGTTGCTTTTGCCTGGCTTTCAGGAATTTCTGTCACAGTTTTTGTTTGTTTGTTTGTTTATTTGTTTGTTTTGTGGAGAGAGCTCACAGCTGCATTTTGAACTAGAATCTTTAAGGGACCCCCAGACCCTGTGTAACTTCTCCTTGACCCCACCTCCTTTCATTCTGCTCCTTGCTCACCCCCTGGCCTCCTTCCTGTTTCTCAGCCCTGCCAGGCACACTGTCTCAGGACATTTGCACTGGTTGTGTCCTCCTCCCAGAATGCCCTCCCCAACTATCTGCATGGCTTGCTCCTTCAGTCCCCTCAGGTTTCTGCTCAGATGAGACCTCCACAGAGATACTTCTCCTGACTGCCTCATTTAACACAGTAACCTGCCGCCAACACATACGCTCTGGCCCCTTGTCACATCGACTCTACTCATTAGCGCCCTCACCCCTGACATATTAATATTGTATATTTGTTCCTTGATTAGCTGTCTCCCTACGCTCAGATGAGGTTTTGTTCATGCTTCATTCTCAGTACCCAGAACAGGGGCAGGAACTCAACCCATATTTGCCTAGAGCACTGAATCCTGAACACCTCAGCTGCTTTGGAGGGGACCAGTACAGGGGGTGGGGGGAACACAGAAGTGGTGCTCTGAGGCTGTTGGGAGCTGACTACGGCTCTGAGGACACAGAGGTACAACGGACTTCCAGAGCGGTAGGGGACAGAGGTTGCTGTGAGAGTTGATAAGTGACATGGGCTGGGAGGGTTCTTGTCCCCAAGGCTTCCTTCAGCCCAGAAATTCTTGCAGTGCCTGCCAGTGCAGTTACTGTCACTCCTTGCTCTCTCCTTGAGGTGACTGTCCCCTGAACAGGCTGACATGCGATTCTAGACAGGAAGCTGTGCCCAGGCAGACACTTACTAGCCAGGCGCCACTTACTGATTCCTCTCTGTGCACCCAGTTTCCTCATCTATAAGTGGGTACAGTCATTTCCCTTGGTGGCATGTGGTAGATGTATTTGCAAATGAGTATTAACAACCTCCGCAGAGCTCTCTAATCGCAGAGTGCAGTGTACACACAAATTCAGTCTTGTGCAGGGGGAGGTCAGCGAGGCAAAATCCCTCCTTGTCTCCCCTGCCAGGAGAGACCAGCCCTACACAGGGACCATGTGGGGCAAACCCACCCTGGCCTTTTCAAACCGCCTCTTCAGCCAGTGTGATGTTGCATCTGACAGTGTACCTGAGAGATGAGTTGTCTCACTAGGGCTCTTTAAAAAGGCAGATACGGATAAGCCGTTACTATCTGCTGACTCCCAGATGCATGGAGGGACTCCATCTGCTCCCTTGCTGAGGCAGAGCCCGGGGGGAATGGCAGCTTGGTGGGGAGGGGGTAGCTTCACAGGGAGAGTTTGCCATCACGGGGTGTTTCAGAGCATGGTGGGCTGGGGGTGAAGGCCAAGGTGGAGGCTCAGGGTATCCAGGGGACAGAGAGTGACCAGGCTTCCCCCATTGGGCTCTCACTGGCTTTTCATGTCGGGACAGTGGGTAGTACACACAGAGCTCCACCCAGATAAACTAGCTTTGACTTCCTGTTGCTCACTGCTGTTCCTCGCAGGGGCTGAGGAGGGGCTTTGAGCCGTGAGGGTGGTGCAGCGGCCACAGCTGAGCAGTCACTGACTCTGTCAAGCTCACCCTCCTATGGACGTGCTGAGGTGTCTCTAGAGACATGCCTGGTAAGGCCCCTCGGGAACTCACTGTCTGGCTGGGAAATGGATTCTCCCAGGGAGCAGCTGCATACCTGTGCGAGACTGTGTGGAAGATAAGGCTGGCTCAGGCCCTGAGGCTGAAGTTCCGAGGAGGTCTCAGAAGGAAGCATCCTTTCTGAGGATGGGGCTCATGGCACAGAAATCTCTCCCTTCCTTCGGGCCCCACGGTTTTCTGCCAAGGCCTGGCCCTACAGGTATTTTCTCATCCTTGTGCCCACAGAGGAGAGAGCAAAGGTCCACTGTAGCTGTTTGGAATAGCCAAACTTGAAAACCACCTAAAGGTCCCTCAGCACAAGGGTGCTTTTCATATTGTAGCAGTTTAAAAGGTGAAATGGTCCTACATGTGCCGACAGGAAAAGACACATTGTCTAAAGGGAAAAGCAGACTGTGAGATCACATATGACATGTATACAATGGAGACACAGTCTAAGAGTTCTAGATGTTATCAACTCTGGATTTCCACCATAGCACAGTCTAGGAGGGTCATCCCAAGCTGAAAACAGGGAGTATAGGGGCTGGGGGATGTCTCCCATGGCTAACTCTTTTTTGTTTTATTTGACACATCTGGACGTAGAACATATTCACGTATCACTTGCATAATTAAAGATAAAAATATCTTTGCTGAAAGAGGAGGCTGGAATAAAAAGGGGATGGGTGAAAACAGGTGAGCCAGCCAGGAGGCAGGACCCATAGTTAGTTTTGAACAGACAAAGCTTCCTGGCAATTTCTTCATGAGGGAAATTGTCATGGGTGGGTCATACTGTGCCCTTGTTTCAAAGCTTCCTTTGAGCTCTGAGAGTTGAAGCAGGTTCTCTCTGCCCAGTAAGCTGTAAATGGCATTCATTTTGGTCCATGGTCCAAAGCTCCAGAAACTGATGTTTGGGGAATGGATTCACAGTGGCTCACAGAGCCTCCCTATCTCTGTGC